ACTGGCGAATTTTCTTGGGGTTGGACGCGGAAATTCCCGGATTAAACGGGGAATCAGTATGGGGCTCAGGACGGGGATTTCAACCCGGTCCCCCCCGCCACCCCCTTTTTCTCATTTTATAGACCCCAACTTAATTGTTTTGCCAGCGGATAATGTCATTCATAAATTATTGATAAAAAACAGATATTGAAAAATGGGCTCTGTAAAGATACTTCATTAATCAAGAATTCTCCATCCCCGGATTCCCCCGTATTCCACCGGATTCCGCCGATTAGCATCCCCCGTCCAGTCCGGGGATTGTGCTGGCAGGGCGTTTGCTAACATTTTATGTGTGAGAGAGAAAGATGCACTCACATTCCTAGCTTTCTTGAGTATGGATGTTCGCAGGATAGTCTAAGCATAAAAAATTACACACGTTATGGAACTTTACTGTCTCCTCTTCATAATAATAATAATCTATCTCTAGTTCTTATATATTTTGATAAATTAAAAGCATTCTGTAGACCTGCGCCTATACAACGTTAGTTGAATTTGGTGCTCTGAGACTTCGAAGCTATAACGCTTATTGGACTAAGTCACACCTCTATAATCTAAAACAGAAAATATATTTATTAGCTGTTATTTTGATCTTAGAGTGCCGTTTTATATGGTATACAGCATATATAAGAGCACTGAAGGACGTTCTTCAGTGTACAGTAGAAGGCAATATTTTAAGATTACATTAATAACCTTGAATCGCTGGTAAAGTATCGTAAACGCGTGTCTCTTTCGACCTAAATCGGGAAGAAAACAAGCGCGTTGTTCAACTGTTTGGGCTGTGTCATCACTTAGGTCCTGGTAATACTGGCTGGCGACGGCATATGAGCAAGACGTGGCCATTCCAATCTGCTTTGTATTTACCACAAACAATATCTGCCTATACTGCTATCAGCTATAGGTGCGGTCAGTTTCCGAGAAATGAGGCCCAAGAGAAATGTGGACCAGAAGGTTCCGTCACCGATTCAATTGACCTCAAATGGTGGATTCCTTCGGTGGTTGTACAGGTGGAATTTGCTTAGAAAAATTGCTTCACACCTACACGATATTCAGGCATGAAGGTTAATATCACTAATATTATTTTTACCTTCCAAGCGTATTTCCATATATTTTGCTTCTTAAAGGCTACAAAAAGTGGCGATTTTAAAACGAATCCCGAAGCGATAATTATAAGCCTATTACGGACTTCGGGTTGGGTTACATCAATACATTACATATATAGCTTGTCGTCAATAAAATTACGGCAAAACTGTCAGTAGCAGCGGTCTTATTTCTTAAAATGTCTACAGCTCTCAAATTGAATTAAGACTTCGTCCTATATCTGTGCTGCTTATTTCCGAAGACTGCTGTCTATATGTTGATGTCAGGAACAAGCCCAGCCGTTTCAATTCGGAAAATGTCAAACAGATGTTTGAGAAGAAAAAACTTTTGCCCAGGATTTTCAAATACTTTCAATGCACGAGTCAGTTACCTAACGAAACTAAATATGTATTCGGTTAAGCGGATGTAAAAAGGCTTCTGTTTCCTTATTTCACTTTAATAATAGTCGTATACTTCAGCAAAGTATATACGAGGCAGCGCCTTTGAAAACCCTATTTGCAGGTAGATGATGGCAACTCGTGCACGTGCTTCAAAGCCATATTTGTACATTTTATAAATCATCTTTGTCCACGCAGGATTTCATAACATAGCCATTTAGCTCTCCTCAAAACATTCGCACGGCTTTAGCCTCCCCCTGCATGCACTGCCAAAAAATGTGCACAAATAATCCAAAAGTCGTTCCTCCGTTTTCACACGACATATGAATTCGTAAATGCGACTACACACACATTTTTTCACATCCGAAGTTCACCGAAACATGATTATAATCGCGTAGCAATGTTGAGTACCTTACTGTTTTTATAATTAAACACCACTGTGACAACCATAAGGCTTAATTTTTCTTTTTTCCGATAATTCTCATGCAAACCTACAAGAACCGATTGCGTTCGAATGTTGGGTGATACGTACATCGGATTGGTAATAGGTGGTTGATACGGGCTAATAGGCGATTCCAGACTTTTGCCTTTGTTGCTGCGCAGTGAGAAAATATAAAAAGCTCATATCCTATAAATATGGACAGTCATCGATTGCTTACGGATATAACTTGGGTCCATTTGCCTAAGTGCTTCCATTCGCACACTCGACAAACATTAATCAACCGCGTAATTATCGAACCACTTGACCATAAACTGAAAAGTGGTATACAACTGTGTACAGTGTACACAGTGTACAGTGTGTCTCAGTGACCGTCTATATAAACTTATTTCGCGTGAGAAGTGTCGACAATAGCAGAGTAGGCAAGTGCGTTATAAGAATAGCAGCGGGAATTACTGCCACAGGTTTTTAAAGTGTCTTTGCAGCAGGACCGAGGATCGAATTACCTGCACAACAATGAAAAGTGCATTGTTCATGGCAGCGTAACAGATTCGAGGGTTATAACGATGGAGAAAGCAAAGTAGGTAGCAACGCCAACACAAAAACAGCAAGTCCTGGAGCACCTCAGACAGCATGATTGCCCGTACCTTACTTCCAATGATATTATAGCGAAGGTATGCCTTGTATGCGTTCTGCGGTGAACCTTTTGACTGGCACGTGCCCTTATTACTTATACCGCGCAAAAGATAATTGTGATTACTGTTTCCTTACCCCAGATCGTGAAGAAGACCCAGAGCCTGGGGACGACGACGCCGAGGAGTCAGATGGACAATCAGGCCTGCCACTCTCAGCGTCCGTAGGCTTTCGCGGAGGCTTCACTTCGGGTTACGTAGTATCTACAAGGCTCGATGCACGAATGCAGAAGAGATGGAGTAGACTAGCGAACAGCGCACTAATTAGCATGCTCCACATGTCGGGTATTGGGGGCAAAAAAGTGACCATTACAGTGCGTTGTCTTTTTTGCTTCGCTGTTAGCACATACAGCAAACCCATATCACATAAATATGGGCAGTGGTTGGTTGACTGCGAAACGTTGTATTCCTCATGTACCCTAGGCCATCCCTTTGAACCCCACCAACAGCCTATCAATGCCTTGCCCATTATAGGCAAACATGTATTACGAAACGACAAGTGTCACTAAAATGATTTATTATTATCCCTCAATAGCCCACTATGCCGAACTTCTGGTAGTTCCGAATCCAACCTTCGGACCCCATATGCCAACTTCAGAAACATGGACCAACTGCGTAAATGCCGACCAAGTGGTCCATTAAGTAAAAAACCAAATACAAAATTATGACTTTCTCCACTTAAATATATGCAACATTTCACTCAAATATGACAGGCATGCTCGGCACATGTAGACCCTTAAGATGCCTATGTAGCTATCAGAAAACTTTCACCCCCAGTGATATCTCCGATGTAGGTTTTAAGTTGCACTTAATAAAAAATACCACATAAACATCTGCCAATTATTGTTACTCAAAATCAAGGCATTGACATCAAAAAGAAGGAGCCATTAAACTGGTAACATAGACAAGGTAGGACTGCGAAGTGACGTAAATGAAAACGGAAAGAAAATAAGACATTCAGTCTCGGGGACTGTATCTTTAGAGTTATTGCACGCAAGAAGGGCGCGCCTTAGCAGAATAGGCAGGCCCGTTGTTATGATATCAGTGGGAATTAATGCGGCAGGCTTTTGAATTGCTGAAGCAGCAGGACCGAGGATTGAAATACCTGCACTACAATAGAAAGAACATTTTTCGCGGCAAAGAAATAGATCTGAGGGTTATAACGATTCACGTGGGAAAGCAGGTAGCAACGACAACATAAAAACAGCAAGTCCTGGAGCACTACAGAAAGCATGATTGCCCATACCCCACTGTTCACAAGAACAAAGCGAAGACATGCACTGTATTCATCCTGCGGTGAACTGTTGGACTCACACGTATCCTTTCGTCTGGAAGGGCGCAAGAGAAAATGCTGATTATTGTTTTTTTGCCCAGATCCTGACGAAGAGCCAGACTCAGAACCCCCTCCCCCTGAAGAACCGGATCCCGAAGAGCCGGAGCCCGAAGAGCCGGACCCCGAAGAGACAGAGCCTGAGTCCGACGATGTCGATGAGTCAGACTCATGATCACGACTGCCACTTTCAGCGTCCGTTCTAGTATCCACAAGGCTCGATATGTTGTTGCAGACGAGGTGAAGTAGACTGGCTGACCATATACACGTGACCGTCTTCCATATGTCGGGTATAGGGGCCAAAGGTTCATCGTAACAATCCAGCAAATCGAAAATGTCAGCAGCAGTCAGCATGTTTCTAAGCAGCAATTCCGGGAGCTCACCACTATGAAGAGCAAAGTTGGGCAGAATCCAGTAAGCAATAGTTACGCTCAGGATAACGCATAAGTCTGTGAGGCGACAGTTCAATTTCATTAAGGCAAAGAAATCTGTCACATTCTAAAATAGGAAGGCATTGGAGGATTGGTGTTAGTACTGAAACAAAAAAATCAATACATGTATAACTGGTTGCAGGAAGCGCAGACTATGCTGCTGGTGCTGCAATATTAAGTATTGTGCAACATAATTCCGAAAGGTTTGGTCACGGATGGTCTTCGTCTGTTAACTGCATTACTTATTTGCCGCTTTCATGAATACAAGACAAAAATTGAAAATGTACATAGCAGAGAACTTTCGTATTGATAGTCGATGCCATGGTGCAGTAGAACGCACTTTTGGAACGCCCGTCAATGATGACCCTGCTCTTTTGTACGAAACGTGCGTCTTCCTCTACTGTAATTCTGGCAGTACCCAGAACCTTAACCTCAAAACAAACTATAAACTCTAACCATAATTCTTTAATATGTTATAGCAATTTGACTAGTATTTTCTATTCATGAAGCATATTAGGCATATTTTTATGCAAACAAATTACCAGTTATGTATGCTATTACTAATATCAAGTTCAACCAATTTTATAATAGATGTTGGCGATGTGTAAAAAGGGTAAGTGGGACAATATGCCGACGGGTAAAATGGAATTATGCTTTATATTTCAGTCTCACATTTCACATCATGAGATGTATCTTGAAAAGCAGTACGATGCATTCTTGCGTAGAGTTTGATGAAGAACTGGTGTGATAAAAAAGTCTGCAGAAGGTAACTCATTCTGCCTTTATTAGGTCAGAACAATCGAGAAGAATATCAATATTTTGAGTGGGTACCAGTGGGCCAGTAGGAATCTACGTTGCTGAGCATCACCCTTATGTGTGGCTAACTACGTTTGAAATCACATCACAGGACAGTATGTCGTACATCACGACTACTGTTACAATTTTAATAGTGGGGTAGAAAATTCAATAGTTATGTGGTCAATCCTTGGACCTGCATGCTTAGTTATGGAATATTATAAAAATATGAAGATAAGGTCCTGCCGCTGTTTCAGGGAATTGCGCTAATTCTCAACATGTCAGGATTCCTGTTCAAGCTAGGGTGTGGTTTAATATTATTGTATTTAGCGAGATAAAAGGAAATATTTCAACTATGATCACATTCAGACTATGTTCAAAGATGATGCACTAATACCAATTTAAACTTACTTTGGAACGGCACACAATTTTCACCTATTATAAAAGAGGCAACGTTTGAGATGAAGTAAGGTTGAATTTGGTTAAATGCGAATTATGCTCACACACATATTAAATGTATGCATATGACCACAAAAACTTAACTCCCACATAACAATTTGGACAAAATGTCATAGTGTATCTGTTGACATTAACTCAGTTAAAAATCAGATGCAAGCTTGTGTGGCTCATGAGGTTAAAACATTTACGATGGACACTCGTGCCCTAGGATGGTCAAAAACAGTCAACGCATTATTGAGTAACGGCAGGCATTTGAGTCTATAACAGTTGTTGAATCTATATCCTCTGCGACTGAATGCATGTTGATTTTAAGTTGAATTATCATTGAATGCGTTCGAATAGGCGCCTGACCATATTTTTGCATACTTCACTCAGACTGAGGTATGTTCAGTGGGGCCGCGAGTTTTTATCCGGTCATAGGAGTATATCAGGACGATGCATTTCTCGAAACTGAATAAAACTTTCTTAACTCAACATTGCAGATTATGCAGGTATATACGAGCACTTATATAGTCAGTAGGGTAAGAAAAACTGAATCTATGCACCCACTCCGTTCATACCGCATACCGCGGGACTAGGTGTCAGAATCGCCCACCATCCCAATCCTAGACGCAACCGAGTCATGGCAATGAGGAACCGATTTAATCTCAGTGAGCGGTCGGGTGTAAAGTATCACAAACCATGCTTTATCCGTCCTCGAAATTAAACAGGACAGACTTGAGGCATGCTCAGTTCGCGCATACAGGAGCAAGACCCAGCTGCCTGTGCCTAGGAGACACGACACGATTTTACTTCGCAGCCGCGAACACAATTACCCATGCTGACGAGCCAGGAATTTGTATAACTCTTGCTCCAGCTCTAAAGCTGTTTTCCAGTTTGTCTGAAGTATTTTCCCTTAGTATGGCATAACTTTACTGCCGCCCCTCAAGGAAGCTGTCTGTCGCACGTTCTGTACTCGTTTGGGAAATGTATATTACCCAGGGAGGTACATCCACTCTGCGTTCTATCCTCTCTCGAAGACGAACCATGGAAATTACTGCACAGACACTACTTGCAGACACAGACGTTGCTTTTGTGGGGGACAGGAATTCACATGTAAAAAAA